GACAGGCCTGCATTTTCTCCTACAGTTATCCCTCTGTATTTTACTTTCCTGAGTAGAGTCTCATGATCAAAGAATACGATATTCCAATCAATATTATTACTAACTAGAAAGACAATAGCATATATAGGTCAAGTAAGAAGAGCCTTCCTGACAACTAACCTGATGACAGTTCCCTCAGCTCCCTTACTGGAACTTCCTTTAATTACACATCCTTCATTATCTGAAAATGGCCCGGATGGGTAGTGAGGAATTTGACAATCTGTTTAATCTTAAATTCCCTCCATTTCCTGACTGATGAGGACTTACGAGAAGTTATGAAAATTCTAACGTTACGACCTAGGCAAGCTAGGTCATGGTAGGTGTTAGTTTCTGCCGCAGCAGCAGCCTGCCCCTGCTGCCAAAGCAGTTATGTTAGCACCTGTCACCAAGTGCCTCTCCACCATGAGCTATGCAACAATGTGTACCCTTTAAAAGTGCCCAGCAGAGCACAACTTGTGTAAGACAAGGTGCTAAATGGTCTAAATTAATAAGAAACCTGGAGCCAGATATTAGGGTGAAAAACTGAGAGATCAGGGGAATAGGACAAGCCACAGCCAACCTCATCTTACCAGCTCCTCAGCTTCCAAAAAGACCTACTTCCAGAATACCCATGCCTATATGCCTTTCTGTACCTGCCATCTCACTTCCTCTCTCCACCCAGCTACATTACTTCCTCTTTCTGCCTAGCTCTTTCACTTCCTGTCTGTCTGTACAGACGTCCAGACCTTTATGGTTAACTAGTGTTGGAATTTAAGGTGTGTGCCACCATGCCTGGCTCTGTTCCCAGTGTGGCCTTGAACTCACAGTGATCTGGATGGATCTCTGTCTCCTGAATGCTAGGATTAAAAGGTGTGTGCTACCATTGCCTGACTTCTATGTTTAATATAATGGCTGGCTTTTTCCTCTGATCCTCAGATAAGCTTTATTAGGGTGTACAATATATTGGGGGACACAATATATCACCACAAACTTGCTCTTATCTCTTGGCTCTCTTCCTCCTCCTTGCTTTCTTGTCTCTCTTGCCTTTTCTTTCCTCTCTTCTTCCATTGTTTTCTTCCTCCTGTCTGTCTGCTTCTCTCATGTCCCCACCCTGACAGGGCCTTTCACTCTTTTGCTCCCCCTCCCCCAATAAACCTCTTGCATTAACTCTGCTGCAAGTGATGTTTGCTTAGTGGCATACCTTGGCAGGGCCCACCAAAAGGTACCACTTTGCTTTGCATTCTTTATCCTTACATTGGTTCCAGGACTCAATAGGCTCTCCTGGCATTTGGTCTGGCCACACTGGGATTCTACCCACCTGCTCCATCCACAACAGATCTGCTTTCTTGATCACCAATGGCTTTGCCTTCCATTCAATACCGACAATTGGCTCTCTGGTGGGGCTACCTGCCTCTACCATTTTCCTAGATGTGAGACTTTCCTTACTGAGGACAATCCTCGCCTTCTCACTTTTCTCAAAGTCCTGTTACCAGGTGACTCACTCAGGCTCTTAGCCCTTGGCCCTTATTCTTGCATGATGATGCACTGAACAGTCTGTGCCTTCTCTTCACTGTTCAGTACTCCATGTCCTGGGGATGCCCAAGGCTTTCACATTCTGGACTTCTCTCTGCCTCATCCTTGGGAACTGTGTCAAAAGCCTCCTTACTCCTGTGGGATGTCTTTTGGAGACCTTCTGACAACTCTTTTCAAATCAAATCTGGCCTTAGTATACCATGGACCAGGGGGAACTGAGGAAGAATTCTCTATTTTCTTTCTCTTTGCTCCAAGACTCTCTAAGTTTTGTAAATGTTCTGTGGGTATGTTTATTGCAACATGGGAGTTAGAGACAGGGAAGCCAGCTTCATCCTGCTCCGTATGCACCGGTTCTCCCCTGCAGTATCTGCTGATCTAACCCTCAGTAATGGATGCATGGATCATTTGTCTAGGAGTGAATCTAATTCCAAATTTTATAGAGTCCAATTCTTCCTGCATTGTTTTCCATGTGGATACATGTGTGTAGCAGGCTGCAGGAGCCCGATAAGCAGCCTGGGAACAGCCTACTGTATTCCCCACTTGGCTCTGGCCTTTGCGGCCTGATGACCCATGTGGACACCTCCCTTTTCTTCTGCTCCTTCTGGGCTTTCCCTCACCTTGTAGCCAGACTGCAGATCCACTGTGCTGTCTCTCAGTTTCCACATGCAGCCCTGAAGCTCACTTTCACTCTCAACTTCCCCTTGGAACTTAAGAACACACTCGCACAATGTTCCACTTTATGACCCTCTCTCTCTTCCTCCATAGACTCAGATTTTATTAAAATATCTTGGCCTCAGTACAAATCAATGGCCAAAGTTGGCAAATGTAATTTCTAAATTCTCAACAATTATTAATAACTGCTACTGCCACAAACAAATGATCCACAAATACCTTATACATACACTTGCTCTGCTATACTTCCCTTACCTCTTCCCACTCCTAAAACTCTTTTATCTCTGATTTCTTTGCACTCTGTTCTCAAAAGAAAAAATGTTAAGATTATGCTGTAAACTCTTATCTCAGGATTTGTAAATTGCTCATTGGATATGGTTTAAAATCTGTATCATGTGTAACAAAATTTAACTTTAAACTTATAATGAAAGGCTTACAATTAAAATTCTACACATGGACATATATATGTGTGTGTGTATGTGTGTGTGTGTGTGTGTGTGAGAGAGAGAGAGAGAGAGAGAGAGAGATTCAACTCTTGTTTAAGTTATATGTATGTATATCTGTACATATGTGACTTAAATTTAACTCTATATATGTCAATGTAAGCTGGATTTAAGTCAGTGTGTATGTGTATCTAACTTGGATTCAACTCTGTGCATGTAACTTAGATTCAACTATTGTTTAAGAAAACATTTTAAATAGTAACCATGTGGCTTTCCTCCATCTTGGCTAGTGACTTTGTCAGGATGTAGGCAGCCACATGACTGGCAATCATCTTTACTAAAGTTAAAGCACATATATCACGTAACACCTCTTAATCCTTATGAGCTCTCTGTTCACAGTATTTCCTTTTAGACTAAGGAAGCAAGAAGTCTCAAATATTTTGGACTGGTACAGACTTTCGTATGATGATAGAAATGTAAGGTTATATTTCTTACAATGTACTGTATATGTGATTCAACTCTGGTTTAGGATATACTCTACATGTTAAAAGTTTTAGGTTATAAAGGTCTATTCAGAGTAACAAAAGCTGATTTAGAAATTTACACCTAAGTACTTATGTCTTTGCAAGTGTTCAACACCAAACTTCTACAGAATTTAGATTAAGTGGCATCATATATTTGATAAATAAGATATATATTCTATAATGGAATGTCTGGTCCCCCGAGGTCCTCTTCCCAGGGCTGGGCATTTGGGAAGGGGCTCCAATGGCTTGTCAAGGACAATGCTGGCCTCTGGGCTCCCTCAGTCCCTGCCCACAGGCCCCACCCCAACTCACATGCCCCTTTTCTCCTGTTCCCATTTGGCCCTGGGGATCTTTCCCCACCTCTTTTCTTTGCCTTCTCAGGAGACAGGCTTAGCAGTTTGGAACAAACTTGTTCCACTTTCACCTACAAAATGGCTACTGTGGTTCCTTTACTGAGTCCATTATCTATGATTTAAAAGTTTTATTTTGATACGAGAAGAACTTCAATTCAAAATCATTATTTTTAAGGCTAAACTTAACAGGGATGGAACATAAAGTCCTATTCTTAAAAAAGCTACTAACTTATTGTAAACAACTAATGATCATTAAGAAATACAGGTTAATGGTCAGTCACCTTTAACAGGAATGGAATGTAAAGTCCTAGTCTTATGAAAGCTGCTAACTTATTGTAGACTGTGAAGGAACACAAGTTAATGATCAGTCATCTCATAAATGATCAAATTCTTTAATTATAGTCATGCTAAGTACAAATATAATTAATTACAGGAATAAGCCTTATTTAGCCCCCTGTATATGTTTCCAAAGTTAAGCTTAAAACAAGTAACTAGAAACCAGCAAAGTTTGTCTACTCAGATATACCTAATAAATAGACAGTTCTTATATGCTTCAGAGATCTGTAGAATATGGCACTTAAAATGTTTAATAAATTTTGTTTTTGTTTTTGTTTTTGTTTTTGGAGACAGGGTTTCTCTGTGTAGCTTTGCGCCTTTCCTGGGACTCACTTGGTAGCCCAGGCTGGCCTCGAACTCACAGAGATCCACCTGCCTCTGCCTCCCGAGTGCTGGGATTAAAGGCGTGCGCCACCACCGCCCGGCTAATAAATTTCTTTTTTGTATGATAGATATGTCAGCTCCTGGCAGTACCCTGTCTCCTCCAAAGAAAATGGATAGGCACAGAAGAACCTCCACCTGGAGCTTGTTTTAAATGTGATAACAATGGCCACTGGGCAAAAAAATAAAAAAACCTGCCTTTCACCTCAACTGCTGCCGAGATCCCGTCCAGACTATGGACAATCAGGACACTAGAGAATTGATTGCCCCATTTTGCCTAGGTAAGGTAGGCTGGTCGCCCTATCCCCAAGTTCCTATTCCACAGGAAAGTCTGTCAGATCTTCTGGGTGTGGCAGCCGAAGACCGGTGCTGCCCTGAAAGCTCTGCCACCGATGGCCATGGCGGGCCCTGGGGTAGCAGTCTAGGTAGCCAATACGCCTGCCATTTTTAATATATTTGGAAGCTGCTTGATCTGCACTTCTGCTTACTCGGGTGAAATTTATCCTCAGACCTCTGGTGTTTGACGACTAGGCTAGTCATAGCTTTGTTAGCTTAACAGCTGCAAACAAGTCATCAGTTGCCTTCTCAGTTCTCTTTGTATATAAAATTCAGGCCACAGGTCTCTCTCTCCTAGAGCCACTACTCACAATTTACCTTGTTACCAGACTCAGAAAAGAGATAAACTCACAAAACAGATTTCAATGTAACTTTTTACTATTCCTTTATTTAAAAGAACTCACTTTATAATGATTGGCCGCAGCAATCAACCACATGTGTCTCCTGGCGAATTAGATAGAAGAAGGTGTTTTAAGGGGTAAAGTTTATGTAAGGAACTGAAAGCTTAAGATGTGAAGATCTAAGAAAATGTTTTAGGGTCTAAGGTGTTTTAAGGTGTGTAAATTCAAGTTATAAAGGTCTGAGGATGAAAAAGCTTAAGTGGTGATAAAAAAAAAAGTGACTTAAGGTGTATAAAAAACATGTTTCAGATTTCTTTCCCTCACTACTCTGTTGTATTAAGGCTCCAAAAGTCCTTAGTCTGAACATTGGAATTCTGATAAGCTATGGATCTAGCTCTAGCAAAGCACCACTACTTTTATCATAGTCACAGACTTAAGATTTTAAATTCCCTTTGGTTGTTTTTTAAGTGTAGACTTAAAAATGTTTCTCATTGTGCTAAAAACATCTGTCTCATCTATATACACTCAGTCTTCTGGTTAGAGGAAAGTGTTCATGCTTTTAACCAGAATCACTTTTGGGTCCCCTATGACTCAAAGGCATGAGTCTACTGCCTTATCTACAATGTGGATTTCAGTACAGATTACAAACAGTGGGAATGCTAATGTGTCCAAAACTTATCTCTTTGTGTAAACTCAAAAAGTTCTTGTAAGCTCCAGGGAGTTGGCTTGGATCTACCTCAAACAGGTAAATGAACTCCACATAAGAACTGTCAATCAACAGCCTAAGTGTCCCCACCTACTGCCTGTTCCTGAGGGTGGAATCTCTCCTACCTTTTCCTGGTCTTAGGACTCCCTTTCTTCAATTACTAGGGCTTAAGAAAAAAATTCCCCCCTAAAACTTTTTAACTTTATTTTCTGCCAGCATCCTGCCAGATCCCCTCAAAATCTGCATCCCAGACAGCTTCAAAGTGGCTAGCCCCAAGTGGTCCAACCTCACAAACTGCTTCAACCAGGCCTACACTTTCCTAGCACCAGACAGTACCACAAAGCGTGGACAGTCAGTGAAACAGCCAGCTATCCCAGGACTTGGCCTGCATCTCAGCTTTCTCAGGTCTCCCGTATATGCCAATGTCCCCAGACAACAGGAAGCAGTCTTGAGAACACAGTGCCCTCATTCCCACCTCACCAGCTAAGCCTTCCTCTTTCATCTTTTTATAATAAACAAAAGGGAGGAATGTTTGTTTCTGCTGCAGCAGCAGCCTGCCTCTGTCACCAAAGTAGTTACATCCTCATCTTTCCACTGTCAGATATGACACATGGGCCCTTTAAAAGCGCCCGCCAGAGCACAGCTCACTCTCGTCTCATGGCTCTCTTGCCTCCTCCTTCCTCTCTTGTCTCTCTTGCCCATTGTTTTCTTTCTTGCCTCTTACTCTTTTCTTGCCTCTTGCTCCTCTCTTCTTCCTCTTGTCTGTCTGCCTCTCTCATATCCCCACTCCAAGAGGGCCTTTCATGCTTTCACTCCCCTCTACCCCAATAAACCTCTTGCACTAACTTTGTGGCATGTTTGCTTAGTAGCAAACTTTGGCAGGGCCTGCCAAAAGGTACCCACTTCACCTTTTATTTAAATTTAGCATTACAGCAGGAAAATGAAATTCATTTACCAATTCTTTCTCAGTCGCATGAGTTTCACTCACTATTTCTAGTGCTATTTCAGCAAAACCAAAATATCTAATACCTAATTATGCACTATCTACTCTATTTAAATCTCTAGAAGGTGAGATGACATTGAACAGTCCTTGCCCATTATCTTGAGTAGAATATTTGAATCCAGACTAAAAATGGCTACTCATTTCTACCTGAACTTGGAAAAAAGAAGGTGGAGTCACATGCTAATGGTAATTATATAATGGCTGGACAGTTATTGACAGCTCGTGAATGGGCCCGAGTTGCATGTGGTACTATTGTCACAACTTGTAAACAACTGCTAAAAGGACCAGAAAGTAGAAGGTCATGGTAGGCTGAAGACGACTTTCCCTTCCAAGGTGACACTGCTGGAGTCATGTCTCTTCACATTCCATCACAGGGAGCATCTGGCAATTTCAAAGCATAAGCTTATGTTTATTTACACCATCTTACTTATTAACATAAAAATAGTCATGATAACTACAGTCAAGAATTCTATTGCTCTTTTTGAGGGTGCATCAAGTGGGTTCTATTTGACTGCCAAATTTACGTCATTAGAAAAGTAAAGTTAAGAAAAACCATCTTCCCATGGTACTGGCTCAGCTTCAGAATCCTGCAGTGCCTTCAAACAAGGCTCAGCCATCAAGACTGGGTTCTACTCTTGCAGAGGACCTGAGTCTGGTTCCCAACACACAGGATGGTTAGTTCACATGCCTATAACTCCAACAGATATGACCCTTCTTTTGACCTCTGAGAGAATTCAGCATGCAGAAACACACATTCAGGCATATACATAACAAACATAAACAATAAAGCTTAATAGAAATTGAAATAAAACCATGGAGAAAGAGCCACACAATATTAAAAAGAAGCATGCTATGAACACAGTACATTTACTTGAGATCTAGAAGGCAACTTTTTTTCTTATTAACCTATCACCTTATATTTTATTTAAATGTTGCATAAAGGTTATAAATATGACCAGGTATGGTAGCTTAGGCCTTTAATCCTAGACCTCAGGAGGCAGAGGCAGATGGACCTGTGACTTCCAGGCCAGCTCGGACTACACAGTGAGACCTAGTCTCAAAAATTAAAAAAATTATATTTAAGGAATGGAGGTGACAGACAAATTCTTTGTTCTAGAAAGACTACTTTCTTGAATGTAATTTCTGAAGACTATTAGTATATCATTATTTTTCCCACATAAATGATCCTCATAATTATTTGAGTGCTTTTATATTGATAAAAGAATCAACTTTTAAATGTTTGAAGAAGTAATTCTGTTGTTTTAAAAGTAAAGAGATTTAATACTTGGATTTTTGACTGGAGAGATGTCTCAGCTGTTAAGAGCACATATTGCTTTTGCAGGGAGCTTAATTTTAATTTCATAACCTATATCAGGCAGAGAGAACTTGCCACACACACAAAAAAAGTACACATATATAACTTTCTTTAAGGTTTTTTGAGATGGACTCTCACTATGCAGCATTAGCTGGCTTAGAACTCACTATGTACTGTTTAAGAAAGAAAAAAGAGATCAACAAAACGTATCTACATGCAAATGTGTTAATGACACAGACTTTACGCCCTGCACTGAATTAACTTCAGATGGATCCTATGCCTGAATGTTCAGGGCCAAGGGAAGAACTTATAGAAGACACTAGAGAAACCAGGGTTCTGTGAGTTAGCAAATCTGCCTTTCCTGGCGACAGTGAAAAAAGCGCAATGCACCCTCTATGCATGGTGACATCACAATATGGAAATAACCACCCACAATCCACCCATGCTCGTATTCTCTGCAGGCGCAGCCCGCAGATGGAAGATACTCAGGGGCCACAAGTCCCGGGAGTTGCAAGGACAATAAGGACCTCACGTGCCTAATGGGGCGCCGTGGTGGGCCGCTCCCACAGCCCTAGGAGGACCCCCACACCGGCTCCCGCGGCTCCTCCCTCAAAGGGGAGAGCGGCCCCTCACTCACCATGGCGGGTTCCGAGCTCACCCTTCTCCTCACAGCTCCAAGCAGCCAGTAACAGCTCAGCACAAAGAACAAGATGAGCCTCCTTCACCCGCAGCCTGCAGCATGGGACCGGAAGTATTCTTTCCATTCTGACTGGCAGTCCATCTGGAGACCCTGATTGGCTACTGAGGCCTGAGTGACAGGAGCAGCTGCTTTAGGGAGAGTGTCACAAAGGGCCATACCACAGTGGTTCCCACCCCTCGCTTCCACCCCTGTACAGATCTGTCGCAGATCTGCAGAGATTGGCATTGCAGCAGAACTTCAAAGATCTCCGTATTATGTAACAGTCCCAACACTGTTCCAGTGTCCAAAGTTTCTTCCGAAAACCAAGGCAATGTCTTGAACTCGGCATCCTGTAAAATCAAAACATACAATGGCACAGAATACACTTCTCTCTTTCAAAAAAGGAAAGATTGAACCAAACAATCACAATTCTCCCCTCCAGCCAGGTCCCCAGGCCTGAGTTCCTGTGTGGTAGGTCATAAAGGCAGCTAAGAGTTTCCTCAGGCAGTGATTGTCAGGCTTCCAGGATCAAACTGAGGGGTGATAAGAATCACATAGAGAGGCAATAACCGTTAATTATCATTTGCAACCTCAAAGGGAAGTGACCAATGGGGAAATGAATTAACTAAAGGCTAAATTCGGGTAATATCTAAGAAGAGGGAATCTTACGTGCTCAACTATAATATTAAACGTGATTGGTAGAAAATGCTAAGAATCTATAAGTTGCTAGGTCAATGGGGGGAAATAAAACTGCCTTCTTTTTTCCTGTGGCTCCTATCTGTTCAAGCTATCTGCCATTTTTTTCTGCAGGGTTGGGGGAAGTGTGCTCTGTCGCTAGGCAACCTATGTACAGCTAGATGCCTCTGGTGATAGTTAAAGGGAGATCTGAAACTAGAGGAAAGATTTGGGAAAGGAGGTAGTTAAGCTTAATTGGCACATCCACCAGGCCTTCTCAAACGGGTAGTCTGGACACTTAAGCCTGTTCTTAGAGAGAACAGAGGTATCTCTGATAAGGTACTTTCCTCCATCTGGGGATGGTCCTGGCTGGGTGCTGCCAATGACGATAATTACAGAGAGGCTTGAACTGGGGTTCTGGCTGAGCATAGTTGTTAGCGCACAGGTTATCTAAATACTCCTAGAAGTGGTTAGGTAAGGAGTTAAAGGTCTATAAGTTAGTAGGGCTGTAAGAAAGGAGGGTCCGAGCTAAATTGTGTAAAGCTATTACTTAACATCCACCTGACCTAGGTGGTGTCTCCTTGTGGAATTTACCTTAAATCAGGAGACTAGCATGTGGACTGTTATTACTGTTAGTCCTTGAAAGTGGCTAAGGGAGATATCTGATTCCAGTGTCGAAAGGGGAGAAACAGATGTGCTGGGGGGAAAGAAGTCTTTCCTGAGGCTGTTCTCCAAATACCTTGAATGTATATGTCCAAAGAGTGATCCAGTCCACACTGTTAGCAATTCTTAGGGAAAAATCAATTGGGAAAACTATGAAGACACATGATTTTCATAACAAAAGACAGCTGATATATAACAAGCCAAATAACACCAAATGCTCCTTGGAATTTGGCTTCCTCTGAAGGAATTCCTTGATCCCTCCAGGTAGTGACTTTGCCATAACCAGCTGAGTTCCTATGATATATTCCTCCGGCCTGCAGCATTTTCACCCATCTCTCTTTGTCTACTTCCACTATCTTCATGCATCTATTATTCATGGCAGTGTCTCAAAGCTTGGAGTCTCAAACATGGTATGGTCTCAAAATGCTACCCAGGCTCTGTCATCAGGAATTCATGCAGTGAACTCTCACAGTCTCCTCATTGGGGCAATATCTCTGCCAAACAGGTGACTGAAACACTGCTGAGCTGAAGCACAGAGGAAGAATCCATGACCTTTAAATGTTGCATCTTTTTCTTTCCAAAAAAGCAGTACATAGATACCACCACACGGGTTTCTAGCTTTGGAAGTACCCGGCCCCACTGGAACAGAGCAGCAGCAGACTCTGCATGAAGTTTTTTTCTGGACAGGAATCACCTTCCTTTTCCTTACAGAGTTCAATGCTTGGCTGGGTAGGCTGTTCCCTATAACACATTTTCTATATTTCCAGAAGAGCAGATGCCTTCTCTTTAATGGCCTTAACCTCCCTGATAATTACAGCCTCTGTTTCAGCACATGACCACTCTCTGAAACTGCTTAGTGCTGTTTTTCTTTCCAAAAAACACAGGTTTTATTCATTTCTGCCCCTATTGTTGCTCTTTTACTCTACAGACCTACATGAGTCATCAGTAATAAGTGTACCATAACTATATATTTTTGTCGAGACAGGTCATTACTCTTTAATTCACCCTTAATCAAAATCATGAGACAGGGGCACAATACAGAGAGATAATACACCAAAATAATACACATACAACACATCTTAGTGACTATTCTATTGCTGTGGAGAAACATTATGACCAAGGTGATTCTTACAAGGGAATACTTTTAACTCGGGGCTTGATTACAATGACAGAGGATTAGTCAACTATCATACTGAATGGCAGCATCACAGTGGGCAGGCATGGCACCGAGACTTACATCCTGATACATAGGCAGGCAGAAAGAAACATTTCCCTTTGCATTGGTCATTTGAAACCTCAAACCCCACCTACAATGACATACTTTAACAAACATGAACACGCCATCTCCCAAAAGCACATTCCTGCTAATGTTACACCAAGCATTTAAATATAAAAGCATGGGGGTGTTGAACACAATATAATGTTATGCCCAGATTGCAGGAACCTCCAAAAGACCACCACGAAGACCCAATCCCATATGTAAAAGCAAAGAGCCTTTATTTTCAAGCTCTGAGCTTGGTCTCTCTGTCTGTCCAGTGCAGCAGTGAGAGCTGAGAGCCCTAAGCTCAAGCAGGGTAGAGTTTTTGTTGTTGTTGTTTTTTGTTTTTATTACAGTAGAGTTTGGGATGAGGGTATTTCCAGGATTCAGGACCCTGATTGGCTGGCATTTGTCTAGGGGTACCTGTAAAACAGAAATAGGTGTGTGCTAGACTCAGGGACATCTGGCCATCTTATCTAACCTTATCTAATGGTTGGAATGTTTGGAATGTCAGGTACTTCCCCTTAGATGTAGGCCCTCCCTGGGTAGGGTCAGCTCATGGATCTGGGTGTTGCCTGCCAGTAAGCCTGTCACAGAAGCTGTGTCTGGGCCTCTAAGCCTGTCATGGCAGCTGTGTAGTCAAGCTATTTGGGGCCACCCACATCCCCCCCTTCACAAGTACCAATAACAGGACTCCGTCATGAGTCCTATTTGCACAGGGGTTCAAGGGTATTAGGACCTAAAAACCATTAGCTAACAGATTTTTCTAGGGCAGTGACATCCATATCTATTGCCATTCTTAAGGCCTTATAGTTCTAATCTTTGAGTATAACCAGATTATAATAATACCTCTGTGGTTCTACACAAAGGTCAAGTGTCTTATCTTATTTATTGCAGAACCATTTCAGTTAATTAACTTATCAATTGACAGCTCTGAATCTATTTTTCTGGTATGTCATTGGGCATTATAGTTAGCCATCTTGCCCCTCTGCCAGGGAGTTTCCTTTTGACCCAACATTTCAGTCTTGTTCTGGACAGGGAACATGGGATGACGTATTCTCTTCTGGAACTGCTTTGAGCTGGCATTGGGGCATTGTTGTCAGAGGCCACCCTCAAATGGCTGAAAGGCTGGTCAAAGACTGGAAAATGGGGCATTTGTCAGAAGTATGTAGCCATCTGACCCAGCTGAAGACAGGGAATAGTCACATTGGCTGGGCTGGTCCATGTCAGCTTTTAGCAAGTTCAGAACTCATAGTTGCTGAGAACAGTGTAGTCGGCAACTGAAACTTGGAACATGTTTACCAGCCAAGTGGAAACCTGTTGAGACAAACTGAAGCTAGGAACAAAAGTTAATTAAAAAAAATACCATCCTTAGGAATAGACAAGTGGGGAAAATTTAAGCTGTACTTATCTGGGGTCTTTCTAACCTCTGTGAAGTGGATCCAAGTATTAACGAATTATCTTATGAAATGATATAAAAGTTTTAGATACATTAGTATTACCAATCTGTACTGAAATCCATATCATAGACAAAAGCAGGTGATGAGTACCTGTAAAACAACAGAAGTGGACTCATGTCTTCGAGTCCCAACAAGAAATACAGATTTGGGTTAAAAGCTTGTGCATTTTTCTTCTGTCCGGAGAGCCAAGTATAAATTAAACAGAGATTTTTGGCCTGATGGGAAGCACTTTTAAGTTTATATTTAGATGACAACCAAAACAAATCTAAAATGTTGAGCTTGTGACTGAACAGTAAGTAGTCATTGCCCTACCAGCTTATCTGGCCTCTATTAAATGTTAAGCTCTGAACCGTTATATCACAGAAGGTGAGAACAATCTAAAACATTTCTCATTACAACTTGTATTTATATCTTAAATCATTTTCTGAGATCCTTAAAGCTTATAAGCTTTGATATCCTCAGACCTTTTTTTGACCCATATTTAAACCTTTATGACTTATTTAGAACATTCTCTTAAAAATGAGCTAACAAGCTGCTATAGCCTTATGGAAGGATCTGGTTGTCTGATGCTGCCAATCTGACAGTTATAGCTAACCTAACCCTCAGTACTATCAGAGATCTGAGAAGGATAAATTATATATGAGTGCAGACTAAGCAGCTTCCAATTCTATAAATAACAGGGACCAGTCCATACCAGTCCATACCAGTCCATACCAGTCCATAGTGTTGGAGGCAAAATATTAGAACAGCATCAATCTTCTTTGGCCATCAGGCCCATAAGTCAGAGTTTTTTCCTATAGAAGAGGGACATGGGGAAGACTGATCTTGCTTTGTCTAAGCTAAAGGGGTGCAATCAATTCTAGTGTCCTGCTGCTTGTCCACATTCTAGGCCAGATCTTGGTGGCAGGGCATTGCATTGGGGGTATCTTGTCCTGTGGTCAGTGTTGCCATAATCCAGGTGGAGACGTTGTTGTGCCCCATATGTAATCTTCTTTGGAGACCTTGGGTCACTGCTAGGATCTGGGAGCCTGTCTGATACAATAAACTTTTAGATTAACATTTTAAATGCCAT